TCATAAATCACGTGACAAACCTATCACTGCCGTCTCCTGCCCAGACTGTTTTCGTCCGTAATTATGCGTCTGTCCTATAAAACATCTATCATTATATAATTCTTTCTCAACATCCGTTTTCAGCCATGATTAACTACATATTCTATCATAACGTCTCATTTCTTCTTGTTTCTCTTGGCTTTCGCACCAAGCGATCATTTTATCTTATAGATGTACAGCCGCATCATCTGTTAATCTCAAACATATGTGACCTTTGCGTCAAACATATCGTTATACTTATATCAAAATTTAACAAACAATTCTCATTTTTCAAACTCCGTTTAATTCGAGGAAACGTTTGACATGTTGCGTCTAATTAAAATAATTTTCCTAAAATCACCTTTTAGGAACAGAAAACCAAATTTATGTGTCTCGAAACAACTTAGTCGGCGGAGCATCTGACTTTGAATCCCGGATGTAGAAGCGACGTGTTTGTTCCAAACCTTAACTAGGGCGGTATGTGATTGGTTGCTCGGGAACCAAAGATCACGGACCGTTCCGTGATGTTGTTTTATTCCAGTTACTCATGAGAACGTTTGTACGAGATACTTTATCACAGTTAGTCATGAAAACGAGGTGTGGTCCTCCCGTATAATGACCAGTGAGTTAGCCACCAGCTTCTTCTCCAAAAGGACTCGCTGTTCGTCGCTTTTCCTTCTTACGTTTACGATTTCTGTTGCCAGATTTGCTTAGGTCTATGTACATTATACTAATACCCTTTAATGGTCTTCTATAGTCATCAACATGTCTAACTCCGTGAAGGGAAATGTTAAACAAATTTATTACGGTACTTATTCTCAAGAATTCAGTTTTCTCAAACCAATATAATCGTTGTATTGAAATAACGTTACATAAAAAAAATATTTTAAAGCTTTATTGAAAAAAATATATAGAGTGATCAATGCCATAAAATCACTAAAGAGTAGACAAATGGGTATAGACACACACTTAGCTGTTAAAGTTTAGAATCAGAATTACCCTGTTGGGAATTATAATATCGGTGTTTAGTTTAAGAGAGAGCTGACAAATTGCAGTACATTTCTATAGAACCAAATCACTTCATTTGCATATTTACAATACATTTTCATGGCGTTTGGATGTTTGAAAGGCTACTGTCTGTTTTATCTAAATTCAATTTGCATCGTTTGAATTTTTTGAATTTCGTAGTTTCCTGTGTTTTTCTGCAAATGGCGCCAATACTTCGTGTTTAAGGCGCCATTATCTTCCAACAAAGACATTGCATTGGGTCTTTTGTGTTTTTGCAAATACACTTGTAATTACACCATATGAGGATTGGTCCAAAAGTACAATGCTCCTTGCACTGTTGATTTTTCCATTCACCTATTACTATTATGAATTATTTAGGCAGGAAGCTGTCAAGTATTGCGGGATGGAATATGACAAGAAATACTGTTAAATTGATCTGAGCTCAAAAGCATTAGCCCCGAGCAGAATTTTGGGTATAAAGACACAGCGTTAATTTCGTCACTCTCGAATTGAGTTGAATTCAGTATAGTATGCCATTTAATCACCTCTAACTTCATCGATGTTCTTACCAAAAAACATTTTTGAATGGAATTAAGGGATTGCTAAGTGCTCAAAACTGAATAACTTCAGCCACGTTCCAATCTGGTTGTTTGATTTTAATTATCATCATTATCTTTTTTGTGTCTAAATTGGGCCATTGTATTGTCTAAATTGGGCCATCGTTTGTGTCTAAATTGGGCCATCGTTTTGTCTAAATTGGGCCATTGTTTTTGTCTAAATTGGGCCATCGTTTGTGTCTAAATTGGGCCATCGTTTGTGTCTAAATTGGGCCATCGTTTTTGTCTATTTGTCGTATTCGAAACTAACGAAAAATACTCTACATTTCAGCTGGATATTGAAACATTATTTCAAATTCATTGCTCCAAATCTCAATCTCGTATTTCTTAATCATCTCCTGTAAATATTTGATTTAGATTGAAACGCTCCACTCGTATCATTTGTCAAGATCTCGATGATGAAAACATTCCATTAGATCTCAAAAGGGACTTGGTACGCTTTCGTCAAGTAGAATTGATGAGCTACATGTTGCAGGTGCGGTTGACATTCTAATCCTGACACAAAAGTACACTGAGACTTTCACAACATATTTTCATTTTTCATTTATCTTATTAATTTTTTATTGATTTCTTCCGCTTTGTGTGTGTTTCAAGTGTGCCAACCTTCAGAAAATAATGACGAAAAAAAAGTTCTCCCAATTTTGACCATTGAGGTGCTATCTGAGCGGCGTATTATTTTCGCAAACTCTCTGGTCGTCTGCAGTTCGCGTGCTTCCCGCCATATTTTGTCACATTGATTGTGGAGATGACTGTTTTGTCTATAACTATTAGGGAAATTTGAATCAAACAGCTTTGGTAATCCGTTATCCATATCCCTAGCTTGGACAAGTTTATTCGCTTAAGACCCAGTCGTGAGATAACTATATTGTAATTGGGTCTGATGTCGTGTAGACTGTGTCCATTGCTATAGATCAATCAATTTCTCTTACATTACGACAGGAATCCGTGACATTTCTACGTTACGTTATATTCACTTGTCTATAATGATGTTTTTTATGATTGGAAATTTTTAAAATCATGATAGTTTCTTTCAACATACATATATATCTTGTGTTATTTCTGAATTGTATATTGAATTAAACAATAAACAGATGTGTAGATATACATGTACTGTGTAATTTAATACATCGGCCCAATCATTGTATTATTTAGGTACGTCTACAAAGAGAAGGCAAAATGGCGATGTAGGTGTAAATTGTTATTCTGCATTGAAAAGTATGACAGACAAACGAAATGGCGTACATGTAATAAGATTAGTTTTTGTCACGGTATGAAAAATTCTGAAAATTGAATATCAGTTTTGTGTCAAAATGCAATATCTTAATGATAAAAGGGGAGTAGAAACATACATTGAATCCGAGTAAATAATTATTCGTCTCCCATAGTAAAACTCGTGTCCGAGGCAATAATGATGATGTGCTCTCAAACCGTCTGTATGTATTGTAGCTATGATGCAATCGTTGCGAGAGCTCTGGTATATGCTTGCGGCAATGAGGCAAACTCAAGAAAAGAGTTTCATAGATAAAAAGTAAAAATTTAGTAACCTCAGAAATTGAAGAATAGATTGTATAGGTCACTTACATAATTACTCAATGTGATGTCATGTGACGAAACACTTTCAGGGAAATATTCATTACGTCAGAGTGGTTGTATCTCATTAATACTGGTTTATGTTGAAGCTATGTACTATTTAAGTATTAAAGTGTATTCATTGATAGTATTACCTAATCGTCGTGTTTTACCGTACATCAGCCAACAATATTTCTTATCATTGTTGTATAGAATATTTCCTCATATTTCACATGCCAGCAACCAGAGATTTTTAACCATTGAGATTTTCTATGTTTAATTTTAAAAAGTAATCCATTCATCGTTTTTTTTTTAACTTTTTAGTCATTCCCAAATGAACATGATCAGTTCAGAAGTCGGTTAGATTTGAATTTAAGTAATCTTTGCCAAGGTGCACTCCTTGTTTTTTAATTGTACTTTCCTGTTGATCGTTAGTCTATGTAGGGTTTACAAAGCAAAATGAGTCACACAGAGCCTTCTATGATATCTATGTTTGTAATCAGTTGTGAGAATGTTCTTTATTAAAATTTATTGAAATCTATATATAGATACCCCTTATTGTACTAGTCCTCTGTCAATGTAACAAAGAGTTAAACTAAAAATAGGATAAAAATAAAAATTCAGCCTATGCTGAATAAGTTAGACTATACGACAATGGATGCGAACGTGCCTCTGTATCAGTTAAATGACATAAATTATTACTTACTAGCTATTATGCTTACATATCGAGTATAAAATACGAACTATTGTATGAATAAAATGCGGAACGAAAGACATTGAATTTACGTTTTATTTACATCAAAAGTCGTATACAGGTCGACACTAAGCCTGATTTGTTTTGTTTTTTTAAATAAAATTAAAATAAAAAAAATTGCGGAGCAAACATTGTCTATACGGTTACTTCTACCGAGGGAAAGAGAATGTTGGAATATGCATGCGAAAATTTGCTAGAAACACCAATATTAACTCCGGCGCATGTCATATATTGCCGAATAGACGAAAGCCAATATTAGGTGTGTCAGGGGAGAAGCTAGTCCACATAAGGTATACGGTTAATGGGATGTTGTTACTTTACTCCAGGGACAAACTGGTAACAGGAATATAGCAGTATGAACGACAAAACATCGAATTCCATTTATATTATTACAACTTGAAAAGATAAAAACGACATAAGCAGACTATGCATGTTGTAGTGGATGTTGATTTTATCTGAATTATTGGGAATATCATAAGCTACGTTCTCAGTAAGGTGTCAAGGCAAGGATTTGTACAGTTTTTTCTTTCCTTCTACGTACATATAACCATATTTAGAACAACCATCCGACTTTTCCCCATGCTGCTGTTATCATATTAAAAGCATTATATATGCATACGAGAACCTGGGTTTAGTTTAAAATCGGAAATGCGTTTATATAAATCAGTTACAATTAACTTACTGTAATAACTGAGTCACGATATTTAAAATAACTTTATTACATAACTGTCATAAATCCCATCATCATGCTGCTTGATGGTGATGTACGTCATCATTATGTAATAATTTCTTGTGGCGTACGTCATCATTACGTATTTTTTGTGCTTTAACTCCTTGAAATATGTACGTCATATTTTTGAATATCGATTATAATCTTCATTATTTTTTGTAAAATGTTCAAACAAATGGTTTGAAAAGATTGTTTTGTAAAGGTTAAACTTTTTTTTTAAGTTTTTTTTTTTTAAATTAAAGATACATTGATTTTGATTATCATTAATCCTGTTTTATATTTTCAACTTTCTTTTATCCTTCAGGGATCTACACCCTTCAACACGCTGATGTTTGTCAGAATAGTGGTAAGCAACTTCAGTGTACCGGAAACGAAGTACTTCGGATCCAAGATGTCCTTTGCCTGCCATCAAACTATACATGCCCAGAACGCGACAAAATTGTTTGGCTTTGCGAAGGGCAAAGGTCGTGTGCAAGCATTGGATTGAAACAGCAGCTCTTGGCGTATTGCCAAAACGCTCCCGAAAGGACGGTGATAATTAGTTACAAATGCATTCGAAGTAAGTGTTTTAGTAGAGTGTGTGCAATTGATTTTACTGGAGAAAGATAGTTTAATTTAATTGGGGTGATGTAATTAAGGATGGTTAGCCGTAGTATAGCAAGCATGCTTTGTATTTCCTGTAAGTAAATCGAAGCAAACTGATTCTAAATACTCCCTTGGGTCTTCTTAAGTTGATTTGTAAACACTAAGGACCTGGTGCTCTGAAATTTCGTTAGTGATTTTCAGTTTTAAATGATGTTTTGAAAGTGTTTATTCGTTGATACATTGTTAACATTTCGGATAAAAATAAAGTATTTTAAGGCGTATATTTTTACAGTAAAGATGTATATAAAGTTACTGATTGGAAACGACAAGCGAGCGAACTGTGATGTCAACTATATAACACATGTTTTGGTTTACACGGTAAGGGTGTATTTTTATCGACACAGTGGTATTTTACCTGGTTATGGTATTTTTATCGACACAGTGGTATTTTACCTGGTTATGGTATTTTTATCGACACAGTGGTATTTTACCTGGTTATGATATTTTTTATCGACACAGTGGTATTTTACCTGGTTATGGTATTTTTTATCGACACAGTGGTATTTTACCTGATTATGATATTTTTTATCGACACAGTGGTATTTTACCTGGTTATGGTATTTTTATCGACACAGTGGTATTTTACCTGGTTATGGTATTTTTATCGACACAGTGGTATTTTACCTGGTAATGATATTTTTTATCGACACAGTGGTATTTTACCTGGTTATGATATTTTTATCGACACAGTGGTATTTTACCTGGTTATGGTATATTTTATCGACACAGTGGTATTTTACCTGGTAATGACACAGTATTTTTTATGGTATTTTTATCGACACAGTGGTATTTTACCTGGTTATGGTATTTTTATCGACACAGTGTGGTATTTTTTTATCGACCTGGTTATGATATTTTTTATCGACACACAGTGGTATTTTACCTGTGGTATTTTTACCTGGTATTTTATGGTATATTTTTTATCGACACAGTGGTATTTTACCTGGTTATGGTATTTTTTCGACACAGTGGTATCGACACACAGTGGTATTTTACCTGGTTATGGTATTTTTATCGACACAGTGGTATTTTACCTGGTTATGGTATTTTTATCGACACAGTGGTATTTTACCTGGTTATGGTATTTTTTATCGACACAGTGGTGGTATTTTACCTGGTTATGGTATATTTTATCGACACAGTGGTATTTTACCTGGTTATGGTATTTTTTATCGACACAGTGGTATTTTACCTGGTTATGGTATTTTTTATCGACACAGTGGTATTCTCAATCGTTTTATGATATGGTATTTTTTATCGACACAGTGGTATTCTCAATCGTTTTATGATATGGTATTTTTTATCGACACAGTGGTATTTTACCTGGTTATGGTATTTTTTATCGACACAGTGGTATTTTACCTGGTTATGGTATATTTTATCGACACAGTGGTATTTTACCTGGTTATGGTATATTTTATCGACACCGTGGTATTTTACCTGGTTATGGTATTTTTTATCGACACAGTGGTATTTTACCTGGTTGGTAATGATATTTTTTATCGACACAGTGGTATTTTACCTGGTTATGGTATTTTTATCGACACAGTGGTATTTTACCTGGTTATGGTATTTTTATCGACACAGTGGTATTTTACCTGGTTATGATATTTTTTATCGACACAGTGGTATTTTACCTGGTTATGGTATTTTTATCGACACAGTGGTATTTTACCTGGTTATGATATTTTTTATCGACACAGTGGTATTTTACCTGGTTATGATATTTTTATCGACACAGTGGTATTTTACCTGGTTATGGTATTTTTTATCGACACAGTGGTATTTTACCTGGTTATGGTATTTTTTATCGACACAGTGGTATTTTACCTGGTTATGGTATTTTTATCGACACAGTGGTATTTTACCTGGTTATGGTATTTTTATCGACACAGTGGTATTTTACCTGGTTATGGTATTTTTATCGACACAGTGGTATTTTACCTAGTTATGGTATTTTTATCGACACAGTGGTATTTTACCTGGTTATGGTATTTTTATCGACACAGTGGTATTTTACCTGGTTATGGTATTTTTTATCGACACAGTGGTATTTATTCGTGTTATGATATGGAATGGTTTTGCCCAGGCGTGGTCAGCCTGCTCTTTTGGATCTGCTATTCATATTTTCTTAATTTTCTTTTAATCAGAACAACCACTTCCACCGTGTCGAACCAACATTTGTAGTCCAGAGAGTGAAGGACTTCATTGTGGTCAGGATAATCAACTTCACATTGTGCGAGCCCGCTGTAATCATGGCCATGATGAATGTCCATGGAACGTGTACCAGACACTATATACGCTATGTGAGGGCCGGAAGTCATGTTATGCTTCCGGTCTGAGTCGCTTGATGCCGGGCAATACCTGTACTGACAACTTTGTGCAGACAGCTAACGTGTTTGTGGACTATATCTGTGTAGAAGGTAATTAACACCGTTTTCCTTATCTATACACATCGATTGAAGAAGATAAGGTTAAACCGGATGGTAGGCTATCGGCCTTGTCTGCAACATCAAAGGTGCTATTTGTATCTTGATTTAGATGCACGCTTGCTGATTAAGCCTTTAAAGGGGGAGATAAGAACTACTTTCCTGATATAAATTGTTTTTAACAGAATGTACAGAAAATTTCGTATATTCTATTTAGCGTCTTTTACAGTAATCAATAGAAAAAGCAAATATATTTTGTTTTAGGTAAAAGGAATAAAACCCGGAAAGAAATATCAGTTAGTGAGTCAAAAGTTTGAAAAAGATGTTTTGATTTTTGTTATAAGACATCGGTTTTTTGAAGAAGAGATAAGAAGCACAACAACACTTATATAAATAAAATCCCTCATTCTATTGGTATCAATACATACCTAGCTTACATACGTATTTATGCATCTTGCCTGTAATGGTGTCGCCGAAACAGTAGAAGACGCTTACTTATCAGGAACACCTATTCTTTTTCTCCTTGTACTTTTTCAAGAGGTTCTGTATAACTCATGTTTTGTCCTAGTTTCATCGCATTTGTGTTTGAATAAGGGTTTTTTTTGACATGTCGGGGAATTAAGATTCTTTTGACAAGTCGGTTTTTGAAAATGTCCTTTATGCATTGTTGAAATTCTTTTAAAAAAATAGAAAAAGGAAAAATGTTGAACACAACAAAAAGGTTAAAAAATGAAAAATAGTGCAATGGATGTTCTAATCCATGTCTCAAATTCCATCGTCATACCTCCGTACCATTTAAAATCATTCAATATTTCAGTAGTGTGTATCAACTGGTGGTGGGGAAATCATATTTGCATCTCTCTGGGAGAACATCTCTGTTTGGAATCTTATGAATAATCAAATTTTGCTTGAGGATTTTATCAATAGATCAACATGTAAATATTTTACGGGACTACAAATAATGAAAGTCATGCTACGCCGATGAATGGCAAAGGAAGGCCAAAAGAAAATGCATGTTAAAGATTAATCTAAAGGGGGTTAGGAATCAACCACACTCAATGAATTCGACATAGAATTATATGTAATCATTTCTGTTTTAGGAACTACCTTTGTATAGATGTAATGAATCCCGTAACGAATGTTTTAAAATCCGTCATGCTTGTTCGGGAAAAACGTGTCATTTTCAAGATATTTATCCTTTTTAATATCACAATTAATGACAAATACTGTCTTTTGGATTTCAGAGGATATTACGGACGACGTATGTACCGGAAACGTACGATCAATGCCGAAAACATTCGGAATAATCAAAAGTCCAGGTTTTCCAAACAATCCCGAGGGCAATCCGAACAGCTGTTACTGGGCAATATATCCTAAGCCTAGTAGGGTAGTGGATATCATTATACATCTCGCCTTTTCTCGCGAGTATACGGAAACGTGCAATGCACAGTTTTTGCAAGTGACGTATAGGGCTTGTGGTACATACCGGAAAATCACAGACACGTTCTGTAAAGCACAGGAAGTCAACATCGAACGGAAGTCTTGTGGAACAGTCTACATTCGTAGTTCGTCCTATTTATCAGGCGAAGACAGGGGAAACAGGTTTCTAGTATCATACCAGGGTATGTATATGACGAATTTCTTCACCTAAAGCTAAAAAAAGTCTGTTCATTTTGCCCAAGACCTGTCTTTATTGTACCTATAGTCAGTCGTTGGAATATCACTAAGACATTCACACTGTATTGCGCTTTGCCCTATTTTGTATTTAAAAATCAGGAACACATGTTTTAGCATTCACGACGTTTTTATTTTTTACGATGGCATTCCTTAAAATAGCAGTGCTAAATATACTTTCCCGTCATGTAGTGTTTATCTATCACAATGGGTTAGCGTAGAAGCTGATATGTGTACTATTACATGATAAACCAGCACCTGTTATATACTTGCATTCCTTCGAGGACTGAGACGTGTCAAAGATGTCATCATGACCTCATTTATATTGAAGAGTGCAACACTTTTACGGATATTTTGTACAAACTTGAAAATTGCCAATATGATAAGTCTCCGAGGTTAACGTTAGTCTGCATGCCACGCTTTGACTTCTGTAATAGTGGCATGTTTCAGAATATACAGGTGTACTTGCCGTTCTTTTTCGTTCATCCGATATTGAAAATTATGAGAAAAATTGATTTTTTTTTGTAAGCACTCTTCTCGATATAGGTTTTTGACATCTATTTTGTCTTGCTCCAGGGTCCTCCTTGGTTTCAACAATTGCAGTCCTCACAATAACTGTATTTACTGTTAAATTCATATCTCTTAATTATATAATACATATATATATATATATATATATAATTTCAAAAGTGACTTTGAATGCAGTAGACTTTTTCACATCGAGATATAAAGTTTCAATATGATGCTTGTTTTTGGCATTGACATAGTGTTGTTCTGTACCTTGATCCTGTAGTCATTTTATTCCGATGTTCACAAATATTGTTCCACGTGAGACTTAGTGATATACGGATATCAATTTGTCAAAAAAAAAAACAAAAAAACAAAAAAACACCCTTAAAATTTCTCAGCTAGACCAATACAGGTGTTTCTATGTTACTGTACCTTTGGGGCTAACATAAGATCACTTGGGTACCCCGCCATTCAGAACCAATCTGTCTAGTCAGAGCCACCAGCAGGCTTCTGTCTCGAAATGGTAAATTATTTCCTGGGTAGGCCAATTGGCTTCCATTTCTTGCTGATTGCCCCAAACGGTTTTTACATTATATGTCTGGTTCCGAATCAGAAGAATAGCGAATGGTCGGTATAGCAATCAGTCCAGAAACTCGTACACATTTAACAAAGAGCTTTTGTTATGATAATACACGTGACTTCTCCTGTAGGGGACATACCGCAAGAAGGCATTATATAAATCGAAATTTAGAGAAATTCGTTACCAATGTCATAAAACAAACTCCTATCAATACTTCTCTTCGTTGCCGGAATTTTTGCTGTAGTCAAGGCTTCTCTCCTTTTTAGTGTCTCCTCAGTCCTTGTTTTGTCATTTCTCTTGTTTTGGATTGCTACCATAATAACACCGGGAAGCATTTTGTCAATCCGTCCTTTCGTCCTTCCTTTGTCTTGATCCATGTCTACTACACAACATGTTGCGGGGACATTCCCCTTTGGATATCGGTTCACCTAAGTAAGATGGTGTGTCTGGTATGAAAAGTAGATTACACTGACCTACATTTTGACCTGGGACCCACTTCAAAGATTTTTTTTCCGCACTCTGAAAAAGTTGGTCCTAGTTCAATATCCTATACTACTAGTCACTGGAATTTTATACTTGGGGTTTGGATGCGCCTTGGTGAGGCGTTGTGTCAGGTGTCCGATGTAGGACGATCAGAACTTCGACCTACATCAAAAGAAAAGGTAGTCCAATTGTCTTGATGGTACATGTATATGTTTCTATGCTCCTGGCTAAGGTAGACCTACTCACCTTCGCTACATAAGGCCCCGAAAAAGGAAAAATTAAATAACCTTTAGAACAATCCATCCTCAAACTTGTACGCATTAACGTGACTTCTAAAGTTATCCGACATGTGCAAATTATGAAATACATATTTATTTCGATCATTTTCGACTTAAAAATTAAGGTCCAAGGTAGGAAGGGGTAAACAACATTATGATCAAGTCTAATGCATAATTTGGTTATGATGTTCTAAATTTGTATTAAACGTTGTGTTATATGAATATGTACAACCAATAGAGACGCCGCTTACTCTACAGGAATGTCTGGTTCTTTCCCCCTGAATCTATAACAAAGGTAAACGAGCCTTTTCTTTGTATTTACCATCGTTTCTTATTTTTTTTAATCTGGGTGAGGTATTTGTAAATGGGTCGTACTTTCTTCTTTTTAACCCGTACTTAGTATGGTAAAACTTTATGTACGTTTGTGTATTTGTAGTAAGCTGACAAAACGAGTCATTCTCGCCATTTGGAACAACGCCAGTTGTATTCTAGAGCAGAAAAAAAAGATCCGATATGTTTCCCATTTCCAAAAGAGGCAGAAATGAAATTCCTAATAACTGAAAGTATTCACAGGATACAACAGCAGATATATACATGTAACCTTCATAGCCAGAAGATGTATCTCACAATGTCTTTAGATAAGACGTGGTTTGTTTTCTTATGTTGTAAGCAAGTTTATGTATGTAACAAACTACCGACTTACTTTCAGGATAAACTAGGCTTATTTAAGAGTTTTTAAGAAATCACTGTCGTGAAATCCATACATAATAATATATATTCTAATAACTTAGATATGGTGCTATTTTCAGTGAGGGAAAAATATGTTACCGACCCGTCTTTTACCAGTTATATGAAGCAATGTCATTCTGGATTTGAACTGGCAAACGTCACTTCTGCTGTACCTTATACATCTGTGTCAGAAAAGTCGCCGCCCGGAAAACGCTCCAGACAGCTTGATTTTGGTAAGCAAGTTTTCATTTTGATCAGCCATTCATTTAGATATACTTCCGTACATAAACTTATATTTGATCTTAAGTTTAGATTGTATCAGAATCATGAAGCTTTTCCATGCTTTCCGAATGTACTAAACCTAAAGAAATTATTAATCTCCAATTTTAACCTCTCTCAGATCCGAACTACAACAGATCTGTGTTAGTTAAACTTGTTCATCAGTCACGTGTGATTATCATCGTCCTTCGCTGTCAAATCATTGAACTTAATGTTCACCTAGTGTCCCGTCCTATAAATGTACTGGTATTTCATGACAAGGTAATATGAATGCTTGATTAAATAGGAATAGTGATTTACTGATGATTGTTCAAAATTCGAAAGGAAAAATGATGGAAACCTATATTAGATATCAATGGAATATAAACATCACCGAAAATATTTCGGATTGCAATCAGATAACTGGTCATCTAAAAGGAGGTATGAAATTCATGATTGACCGGATGAAGGCATAATTCTATATAAAACTGACAATTTATATACTTTGTTATCTGTACTTTGAGCTTAAGTAGACCGCATAATATGGCGTTTTCTAGCAGTTTTGCATGTGGACTACATGTTGTGACAGCGACGTTGACGGCCTAATTCGGTAAATAGCGGTCAACAAATTTCCCACTGTTACGGTGTTTCTCATGGGTCGTGGGTAGCTTTCAAGATACCACAGCTTTCCTGTACGTGAATCCCGACCTGGTACTTGAGTTTTGGGGTCAATAGAGAATATTCTAACTTGTTCCTTGTTCTTTCGAATGACTGGTATTTGGGTAAAAATTTAAAGAAAATAAAACACGACGGTCCCTAATATTTTGATAATGAAAATCACCACGGAATTTTGGAATATTGAAGCACGACGACACAAGGTTTAATATCAAAAGTTATCGCAGTATTTAAACCATTCTTTCACAATTCTCAATTTTTGGGATGCGTTGCAATTTGTAAAATTTAGATTGAGCTTTTATGGGTCTTGTCTTGTTATATAGTATAATTCTATGAAATATTATAAAAGAAAAAAATATTTATACAAAAGAAATGTCGCTTTATCGCTAAAACAGCGTACCTGTAATTTAGGAATAAGGAGAATTATATATGAAAGTGGATAATCCCATTTACACATATTCTGTCACCTGTAACGAAAATAGAAGTGCGGCAAATAATTGATATTGCGTTTAAGTTTTTTTCTTAAATGTAAACTTTCAAAAATCATCACATGCAAAAAGTTATATGATGGAAATTTTTGCCTCTAAACTTTCATATATTCTTAATTATCCTCGTTTTCCAAGTTGTACTGTGAATCACTGCTCTTGCGGAGTCGTTTTAGGTGGATCACAATGACGTATTGGGGACTATCCTTGAAAATTAGATTTTTAACAACAACATTATACCACGGAATGAATAATTAATATCAATATGTCCTTAAAATTTGGAACAATATAAAAACTGCAAATTGTCGGAGGCTTTCTTTATTTTGATATAGTGACCTGAAGCACGGTATACATTACTTTTTATGTACATACATATTGAATTTGCTACTTTACTTTGTACAACAGATAATCTGTAAATGTAGTGATTTACAATACAGGTGTTGGTTTCCAGTTGATAAGAACCGTTATTTACCTATCAAGTATAGTTAACAGAGATCATGTTCATATCTGATATAAACCTTGATGTGGAAATATTGTTTTGACTTAATAGAAATCAAAAACTATTTTTGCTCACTTTGTCCTTGAGATTTTTATCATCAAGCGTTCAAGATTACCAAATTTCTAATCATGAAGTCAATTATCAAAGGCTTACTTCTCTATAAAACAGAGATAATGACTTTGCCAATCGACCTCAATCTAATCGAAACATTCAAAGAATATGATAGAAAGAATACCAACTCCATCATACTTGTAATTTCCTTTTTCGAGAATGAAATCACGTTTGGTGTAAAATCATCTAGATTTCCTGAACAAACCACTTCCAAGAATTGTTAGAATCATGAAAGGACCGTTGAGAAGACGAAAACCAGATCCAAACGAAACATTTTCTGACCTTGACCTTTTGTGACCAGTTAGGATGACCTTGGTTAATAAGTATTTGTTTTTCACAGTCGGGGAACACTACGCCGCTTTATATAGAAACTCGGAGAGCCAACAGGCCTTAGCTGGACCACACAATGACACTGCTGGTGATTGTTTTATTTCTCGGAGTGGTCATTCTGCATGCCCGCATTTTTATCAATGTATTCGGTCCTACTCTATTCACACCAATAACAACAGTTCTTATTAACAAATATTTACCATAATCCATTTTTTGTGCGGTTTGATATGGTTCCCAGCCCAAAGGACGAGACAAAAGGGGTTCAATTTAAACAAAAATCCTCAAAACCCATTGTGATGGAATCAAATGCTCTTCACAAATCTTATGTGCCTTCTAAAATTGTGGAATCTATGGTCCCAGGATCTCAAGTTTTCGGGGATGAAATACAGTTTATTCTAGTTTATGCTAGATTTTTATGTTTTGGAGCAGGATTTGAAATATTCCCATTTGAGCTTGGTATACGATGGCAGTTTCATGTATTCACATATTGACCTTGGCTGACCCTGATGGTGAGGTCAAAAGGGGTCATATGGATTCAAATTTCCAAAGAGTCTTAGCTGCTTAACCAAAATGATTAATTAAATGATCTCAGAGTCTAACATTCCACCCGGGGAGAGGGTAAAGTTAACGATAGGTGATATGAGAAAACTACTTTTGAACATAATGTATTTTAAAGTTGTAGTTACCTTTATTTGTTAGGAGGATTTTTATGATATATGCTATAAAAACATCAATATTTATAGAACTCTGGTGACCGTTAAGATCTTTTTGTGTCTTGTTGGTATAAATGCTTGTGTTGCATTTGAAAATGTGAATGTTCGTTACTAACACATTTGTTTTGGCGTATACACATATTCGAGTTCTCAATATATGGAAAGTGTATATAATACAAGTCAAATACCCAAACTTTCGTTGTAATCGGTGAATCAGTTGTACCCACTGCTTATACTCACACGATACTGAATGGCCTTGTGTTCACTTTAAACCAAAAATGAACTGTTTAAATAAATCTGGTAATTGTCAAGTTTCTCCAATAATTGTTGATTAGAATATATACATACAGTTTAATGATCTTTGTCATTTATCAAGTTATGATATGGCACGAAAAAGTCCCAGTATTCGTTATTAACCTGAAAGTTATTAATAATATAGTGTAAGGAAAGCGTAGAGCCCGGACCGTTGCTATTAAGAAAAAGAAAATTAAATGAAGGGATATTGAAATTAAAACACTGTACTGCTTATTTATCAGCCATCACTTGGTCCAACATAATGACAGAGAACTGGCTAACTATCTTGGTCTGCAATGTCCTCGGTTTCAGGTTAACGGCGCTATTAACATTCGAGGTAGTCAATAAAGGTCTTGTGTCATTGCCTCGTTGTACCTAAAGTATAGTCATCATTCTATACTTGTAAAATCGTTATAGTAATATGCAAGCTGTTACACAAGTCTTCTGACTATGATTTTATGTATCTTTTCTGAAATAAAAATAACTTTGATGTTAACCACCCTACCCTTTTTAGAATATAACAGAAATAATTGTTACATAAAATTTTGTCGTGGTTAAACTGCAAATTTTAAGGAAGCTTTTCTGAATCGTGAGATATGAGGATGTTTGATATTCGTAAGTTCGCTAGTTGGTTCCATTTTTGTTAACCTTGTGCCCATATGAGACCGTGGCATTACGAACTCGGATTGACCCAGCTCTTTATGACGGGTGTCTTCGATGGAGCAAAAGACACTTACTCTTTGATAACACCTGGTTCTATTTTCCTTCAACATTTTTCGGGAGCATCCATGTTAATCTTTCTCTTTGTTCACATTTCTGTTCCTTACAAATGTCCATATCTTTGATATCAAATCATAATATCCTTTTGTCTGAAAATTATTCCGCGGTATGGTGGAGAGGTAATAACCATATCGTGTCTGGACTTTTAAAGAATTCTTTGCGTGCAGACTCACAGTATTGTCATTTCCCATGAGTTGCTCATCCTTCGTTGTGTGTTTTTTATTTCCATACATGCATCACATGAGGGTTGTTTTAAATACGGCTACAGTATAAAATGTTCAGAAATAAGCGAAAGTGCATTTTGTAATGAGGGTATGCAGCTACGCTAGAAGACCACAAAGGTTCGCATGAACAACAGGACACTGTAAACATAAAGATGTAAGTTATGATATCAGATGAACATAGGACTTCATGTCATTAATTTGATAACTATATAGGACCCATTGGCTTATGATTGTTGGTCCAATGCTCTGTGGAGTGAGGTACTGTCGTAGAGCTAATAAAAAGCGGCAGAACTATACAACATTGTGTTGCTCTGCATTCGGGGATGCTGTGATGAGAAAGGTCTTTGCTGGCTTGAGAAAACATGATTTCGATGTATTTGTCTCATTCATCATTCGTGTTTCCGGTCGTACATTTCCGTAAATCGTATATTTTAGTAGTATACCTTTGTAGATACAGTGTGTAAGTTGTATTCTGGTGGGTAAATCTCTTATACTCTTGAAGTATGTTTCTGCTATACTCTGTTTCTAAGCTTCGGTAAATATTTTGTATTGTGATGGTAAGTTGTTGGATAGTTTCTGTTAACATTATATAATCTATTTCTATGTTTCGGCAAATTTGTCATAGTCAAGTATTAAAAAGTAATTGAAATTCAGTGAAATAGCATACTTCAGATATGAAAGTATATAAACTCGGACAACTGTGTGACCATGTGTATCCTTCTATCAACAGAAGCTTATGATGCACTAATCTTTCTAAAATGTAAATCTAATTGAGGTGTGAATAGTAATTTTCATCATGTATAGCTTAGATATGTTAAAACCTCTTTCCGAACGTTTATAAGCGATGATAGTTAAATACTGTAACAACAGCAAGTGTGTAGTTTTTATTTAAATCATAAATCCTGATTTATTTATCATTTCGTTATACCAATTCTTATGCTAATAATGAACGAAATATCAACTTGTCTGGGAAAAGCTCTATTAATGGACAGTGTTGTTATGAATAAGCGGATATATCAAGTTCACCAATGTACAAGATGTAGTGTTTGACATTGACTGGAAGGTCAAAGGTCATCATTTCTTTGTAGTCTACTGGTTAACTGTACATCCATTATTTTCATTTTCTGTTAAACCCATTTAGTCACAATAGGAATAGTTGTATCTTCAATTATTTCATCTGTTAGCAGCATTTCAACTTGGATAACTTCTCGGAAAATGACTGCATTTATCGCTGCATTATTTTCGAATTCCTAGTTTTATACGTATATTACAGTTATCTCGATCGCTATACTCGATACACTCAAGACGAAATCGTCATGGTGATTTGCGTGTTCTTGAAAAAACCCAACAATTCAAGTCTGGTACTTATCAAGTAACAACAACTTGCAATACAACTACCACGCGTAATCTACATTTCGATTTATTTTCTGTCGAGTAAAATATTTTGCACTAATGTGATCCTATATTGAATACAGAAACACGAATATAAGAAATTGCGGGTGTCGATCCCGGTAGATTCGGACCGAGAGATCGTCAAGGAAACATTCACATTGAACGTATTACTACCGTTGCCCGAAATCTAGAGACTGCATCCTATCAGAATTCCGACACATTGCCAGACAAAACCCATCAGAGGTCGTACCCAATATGGTATATTAGCTTTATCGATGATACATTGTTTATATGAAGATAATTTGATTTCACAAAATGTTTCCTCAGGGACGCCTGGCAGCGTGTTTCGCTATTAAGTATTAGATGCCTCCGCAGGGAGAGCTCCCATGGTATTATGTATTAAAGTATTGGCATATTTGGGCAACACTAGGGATAATCGTAAATGTCACTTGTAAATGAGCTGTTTGATTTATAATAACATAACTGTCGGGTTTTGGCTTGTCTTCAATATTGAAATTACAAAATTGGGAAAAACAAGTTAAGTAGGTATATAACAAGTTGTGGAGTCTATTATTATGTTCAATATCAATAACCAAAGTACAAAATGGATAAAAAGTGATCGGAAGCGTTATTGCGTATTATTACATTACGGGTTGATGGACATCTATATTACAGTTTCGGAATGGTCGATACAAGAGAAATCGTTATTGTGGTGCCATTAAACAGAATTGGTAAAGACAAATGCCCGTGCAATGTCTTCTGCACTCACAGTATGGAAAGAGCTTTTATAGCATCTTTACGCCAGTCAATTACTTTAATTCAATCTGATAACCTGTCTTTTATTGCCACCTGGGACTCGTGTAGGTGCTTTTTTTTTTTTTTTTACATTGAATCGAATATTTGATTAACTTTTTAAGTAGTTTTTTTGCCTACCTACAAATGTAAATTACCTTTCCTTTTAACATAAAACTAAACAAAACGAAGTCTGCCTTGTTGCAAACGGATCATAATCTAAAACGATTCCAGATCGCAAAAGACATTGCAACAAAGTAAAAGACAAGATAAACCACCAAATTACATTGGAGAGTTTAGAATCCATTTATAAATAAATAGATCGAATCCTAAATATTTCTTAAAATGATGCATGTTTAAAGCCAACTGACATTGTAAGATTTGTCTCTTATTAACCAGAAGACGCTTGATCTTCAGGAACCCTTGGTCTTATTCACTTTGAACTTTTTCAGGTGCCTCTGAAAATCTTTGTTTTGTTCATATTTTGCAAACTTGGCCCGAATAGGGAAATATTTTGTGAAAACGTTGGATCTTCGAAATGGGGAAAAGAGTAAATCCTTTAAAATCCTGCTTCTCCTGTAGGGATGATTGGATTTCGCGCAAGTTTTTTTTCGATTGTTCGGAGCTTTGTTTGATAAAGGGAACTGTTTGTTTTTATAAACGTTGGGTATCGGGAGGGAGGGGCAGGGCCCAATAGTGGATATAGTGTAAATTCCTTAAAATCCTATCTCTTCCGTAGGAATGATTGGATATTGCCAAAATCCTGTTTGTAGCTCTGTTGTGTAAAAAGAAGTCAATTCTAGATAAAGAGTGAGTTTCTTCCCCCGTGGGCGGGAGGTGCGAGGTCCTATAGGGGAAATAGTGCTTATTCTTGAAAATTCTTTTTCTACTGT